GTATCGAAATTTGGTACTGAACGACGAGATGTTTTTCGATACTCGATGGTATCGAGGCAATTCGGTCGGTGCCTAAAAAGTATCGAACTCGATACCCAGCCCTAGGTGGGAGGGAGAACATGTTCTCAGTCATGGGACTAATTGAAGTGCAGGGGTGGCTGTGCTTTTTTCCCCTGATGTTAAATCCAAAATTGTATTGAAACATGAGTTAGAACCAGGAAGACTGTTAATTGTAAGGGCAGAAATAAGTAGTTTCTGCTTTTTGTTTGTGAATATTTACGCTCCTAATATTGGCCCCGACAGAATTAAGCTTTTCATTAAGCTGAAACTATTTTTAAGGCAAAACCAGAATGAAGATTTTATTGTTTTTGGGGGGACTGGAATTGCACATTGGACTTTACACTTGATAGAAATGGGGAGGAGCCGCATTCACAGTAGGTTTGGGCCGATAGACGATCTGCCAGACATCACGATGTTAAGATGACATCGTAATTTCTCCTTACTCTGTGTATGTGGTAAGTGAACTTTCATGTACTGTAATGCAACAGGCTACCACTAGCAAGCGACTAACCTTTTAGTGGCTCCTTAGAACGCGTTATTTGTTTCACGCTTCGGGCACACCCCTAACCCCTCCCCCCGATGTCATTGTCCATCACGATGTTTCACTGTAGACATCGTCAGATGCCAATTTGGTAGACATCGCCCAACCCTAATTCACAGTCAGCACTCTGTTTAGCCAGTGTGATTGAGAATGAGAACCTGAATTTTTTAGATGTTTGGAGAGAACACAATCTTTCAACGCGACAGTACACTTGGGTGAAAGTCAGCGCTGGTCTGATTTCTGCTGCACGTTTGGACCGGTTTTTTGTATCTGGAAATATGAGAAATAGAGTTAGAAATACAACTATTGTCCCCATGTCTTTCTCTGATCACAAACTTATCACAGTTGATTGTGTCTTGGACATAAGACCTCACAAAAGTTATTATTGGCATTTTAATATAAAAGTTTTAGAAGATACATTTTTTATTGAAAAATGTAAGTTATTTTGGGAAAGTTGAAAAGGCCCGTTTTGATAGCATAATTCAGTGGTGGGAAGTGGGGAAAGCACGTATAAAGTTGTTTTGTCAGCAATACGCCTCTTATTCCACTTTGTGTTTAAAGAAGACATTGGAGCAACTGGAACAAGAAATTTTTGCTACTGAGAGAAACATGACTGTTAACAATGTTGTTGGTTTACAGGAAAAGTGGACTGAAAAGAAACTTTCCTTAAGCTCTATTTTAAATGAAAAAGTAAAGGGTGCACTTATAAGGAGCAGGTTTTTAACAGTGAGAGACATGGATGCTCCTACTTCTTTTTTCTTTAATTTGGAACGCAAAGCTTCTCAAGATAAACAGATGTACAGTCTAAAGGACAGTATTGGGCGTATCACTTCTGACCAAGTGGAGATGCGCAGACTGGCTGTAGACTTTTACTCTACTCTTTTTGCTGCTGAAAATTCAGATGGACATGCTAGAAAAGAACTTCTTCAGGATCTCCCTGTTCTAACTTCAGAGCAGAAGGAATTTTTGGAAAAGAGACTTACTTTTGATTAAGTGACTGCCTCTGTGATGGAACTCTCTTTAGGTCGTACACCCGGAATAGATGGTCTTCCTGCTGAGTTCTATAACAGCTTGTGGACTGTCATCTGGAATGACTTTTTTAAAGTTCTTCAGGAATAAACTAATGAAGGAAGTCTCCCTAAGAGTTGCCAGCATGCAGTTTTAACTTTGCTTCCAAAAAGAGTATTCTTATCTTTATTAAAGAACTGGAGGCCTGTGGCACTTCTATGCTCTGAGTATAAGATTCTCTCAAAATGCTTAGCCAAAAGATTAAATAGTGTACTGCAACAAATCATACATAAGGATCAGTCTTACTGTATAAAGGGTAGATCTATTACAGACAATTTGCATTTGGTAAGAGATCTTTTTGACTTTGCTTCTTTTAATAATGTTGATGTGGGGTTTTTGTCATTCAGGATCAGGAAAAGGCTTTCGATTGGGTAGATCATGTCTTATCTTTTTGAAACGCTTAAAGTCTTTGGTTTTGGGGATCATTTTACTTTACTAATCAGACTGCTCTATTCTGAAGCTACATGTTTAATTAAAATGGCCGGTGGTCTTAGTATTCCTATAAGGGTTCAAAGGGGTATCAGACAAGGCTGTCCTCTTTCAGGGCAGCTTTATAGTATTGTCATTGAACCTTTACATGTAAACTAAGAAGAGAGTTAAGGGGTCTACAAATTAATACACTGATGCCCCAGCAGCCTGTTAAACTTTCTGCTTATGCAGATGATGTCACTGGAGATATTCAATGTTTAGAAGAAAGCTTAGAATGTTACGGTAAAGCCTCCTCTGCGAAAGTTAACTGGGCAAAGAGTGATGCTCTTGTGGTGTGGAAAAGATAGTGAAGGTCCCTTACTTCCAGGGGGGTTGCAATGGGGAAGGGCAGGTTTAAAATATTTAGGTGTGTTTTTAGGAACTGATGAATATAAGAAGCAAAACTGGGAGGGCCTAGTGGAGAAAGTGTGTGCTCAGTTGTCTCACTGGCATTGGCTGCTACCCCAGCTTTCCTACAGGGGAAGAGTACTGGTCTGTAATAATTTGGTTGCCTCGTCTTTGTGGCACAGAATGATGGTGCTGGTGCCCCCAGAAGATTTGGTAAGAGACATTCAGCAGCAACTTATAGACTTTTTCTGGTCAGGACAACACTGGCTGAAAGCCTCAGTCCTCTAGCTGCCTAGAGGGGGGTCAGGGGCTCATCGACATTAGGTCACGGATCAAGGCCTTCAGACTCCAGACAGCTCAAAGGCTTCTTTATGGAGAGGATGTGAGTTGGTTTTGGGTTGCTTATGCCCTTCTGAGAAGAGCAGGAAAGATGGGATTTGATCGTCACTTGTTTTTATTGGATGGTGATAAACTGGACTTAAGTGGTCTGACATCCTTTCACAAGTCAGTGTTAAAATCATGGACACTCTTCAGGATTTCTCGAGAGTTAAGTGACACTCATTTTCATTGGTTAAAGGAAGAACCATTGTTTTTCAACCCAGCACTTGAGTTGGATATTTTTAAATCCCTTTTTCTGAGGAATGCTGCTCTTTCCGCAAACATCACTAAAGTAGGACATCTAGCCTTCGAGGATGGCTGGTTGTCTGCAGAGATATTGGCTCTTAAGCTTGGCATAAGATCTGTTCGAGTTGCCCAGAGACTTCTGACTGAGGTGCAGGAACGATTGCCGCAGAATTACAGTGTGTCCCTGGTTGTACCTGGTGGGGAGGAAGTAGTATCCTTCCCAGACCTGGAGGTTTCTGCAGAAAATGGCGAGTGGCAAGAAGCAGAAGGCAACATCCTATCCTTTGCATCACTGCAGACAGGACATTTCAGTGCTGTTGGGAAGAAGCAACTATATGTGATGTGTGTAAAGGCTCTTCATTGTCATACTCTGGAGATTGTGAAGGAGTCTAAGTGGTTGGACTTTTTTGGGTCAGGCTCTTCACCCAAAGGTAGTTGGAGGACCTTGTATAGGGTTGTGACGGTGAGGAAATTTTCCCACCATAAAAAATCTAAACGACGGTGATGTCGGTGACGCGGTGGGCAAGTGACGTAACCGGTGTTGTGGCTTAACACCGGTATCACCGTCAGCACCATCTATCGCGGCAAGCCTAACCTTGTACAAACTCCCCATTGAGAAACGGTCTGAAGACCCGCAGTGGCGGATTGTGCATGGTATAATAGCTACGAACAGACACAGAGCACACATTGATCCACAGGCAGGGGAGGGTTGCCATTTCTGTGGACAATCGGAAACAGTTTTTCATTTATTTTCTGAATGTGAAAGGCTTGTTCCTCTGTTTAGTTTTTTAGAAGAATGCTGCCGTGAATTAGGGGAGGTTTTTACTAAAGTTTTCTTTATCTATGGTCCTAAATATAAACATTCCACAAGGGAGACCCATGTATTAGTGAATTTAGTTTTTGGCCAAGCAAAGTTGGCTATTTGGCTGTCACGGAAAAATAAGATTGTTGGAATGGGACAGACTGATGCTACTTTGATTTTTAGGGGTTTGATAAAATCACGTTTAAAGATTGAATTTGCTTTTTACAATTTAATAATGGATATACAGACCTTTAAATACAAGTGTGGCATTAATAACTGCATATGTGAAGTTGATTGTGATGGATCTCTAAACATTTATAAAATCACGTTTAAAGGTTGAATTTGCATTTTACAATTTAATAATGGATATAGAGACCTTTAAATACAGGTGGGGCATTAATAACTGCATATGTGAAGTTGATTGTGATGGATCTCTGAACATTTATGTATGATAATGATTATATGATGTTTTTATTGGTTTGTTTTTTTGATACGAAAATATGATGTTTCCTTTGGGTTGTTATATTTTCAGATTTTTTGACTTTTCCTATTTTTTATACCTGTACAATTTGACTTGATATATACATTTTTTTTTTTTGAATTATTGATGTTTTCTAACATCTCTCTGGCCAACGTGATCCGTCAGCTGAGCAGCCTGAGTGAGTCCAGCTCTCCACAAACATGTTCTTCTGTCTCTCTAAATACACACTCAAGCACTTTAGATGTTGTACAGTGGCACATCTGCAATGCCCTACAATACTGTATCTGCTCACTGTACTTTTTACACTTGGATAAAACACATTTGCCCAGATCACATTTCAACCCAAAATTAAAAGGAATATCTTTATTAATATCTTTAAAATATCTTTATTTATTTATTATTATTATTTTCAAATTGTATTATTTATCTCTCTCTACATATATAAGTTGTTCTTGTATTTTAAATTGTAAAATATTTATTAATCATGGTAACATTTGTCTAAAGAAAAAGAGAATTTATATTTTGCATAAAAATAATGTATACTTTTGATTATTTTATTTATATTATTAACTTTATTACTTTTTATATCATTATTTTTATTATTCTTTATAGTATATACATCATATATTTGTATATTATGTATAATAAATTATTATATATAAATATTTAATTGTTTATTTTTCTCATTTTTTTATTTTTATAATTTCTCTCTCTATATACATTTATACAAGTTGTTAACTTTGTAATCGTAAAATAATTATTCCTCATGGTAATATTTGTTGAATTGCAAAAATAAAAAAAAAGGACATTTTTAAAAACTTTACGATTACTTTATGATTTTATATTTATTTATTTTATATTGCATACTTTAAATATTTG